GCAAGGAGGCGGCGGCGCGCTGCGTGGTGCTCGACTGCCGGCCCTACCTGGCCTTCGCCGCCTCGAGCGTGCGCGGCTCGCTCAACGTCAACCTCAACTCGGTGGTGCTGCGGCGGGCACGGGGCGGTACGGTGTCGGCGCGCTACGTGCTGCCCGACGAGGCGGCGCGCGCGCGGCTCTTGCAGGAGGGCGGTGGCGGCGTGGCGGCCGTGGTGGTGCTGGACCAGGGCAGCCGCCACTGGCAGAAGCTGCGAGAGGAGAGCGCCGCGCGCGTCGTGCTCACGTCGCTGCTCGCCTGCCTGCCCGCCGGCCCGCGGGTCTACTTCCTCAAAGGTGAGCGCGCGGAGTCCCTGCCACACTCGCCCCTCCCGCGCTCCCTGGTGCTCTCCCTGCGCCTGGGCGCCCTCCTGTACACCCCGGGACCGAGAGAGTCACCACCTGCCGGAGTCTGCACCCTGGGGCTTGACGTGCTCCTGGAAGGGCACTGCAAATGTCCGCGCTCCGAGCTCCCCCGCTCCCCACCCGCGTTCCTCGAAAGCGCCTGGCAGCCGGTCTGTCCGCCGGGCTGGGTGGAGTTGGTTATGCTGCGGGGGCTGCTGCTGCTCAGCAGTTCGGGGGCCGTCGGCTCGTGCTGGGCTCGGGCCCCATTTCCAGACGCGAGCTTCGCAGCTGTCGCTGGGGTCAGGGCTCGGGGCCTTCCTGATAGACTGATCTGGTGGGATCAGCAGGTCGCGACCCCCTCCCCGCTGGCGTGGCGCCGCGGTGTCCCCCTTCCTCTCGCCTAGCCCGCTGCAGTACGTTAGGCCCGTTCTTCACCGACCCCTCTTGCCTTTTTGACCTGACGAGTCCCTTCCTTTCCATTTCATTTTATTGCTTTTTATTGTTTTTCTCCGGCCTCTTCTCTCCTCCTGGGTCTTTCTCTAGCTCATTTGGAGCTCACACCCTTCCCACCCTCTTTTTACCTCCTCCCTCCTCCGCCCCAGGATTATCCCTGGGACCTGTCCTGAGCTGAGCCTACAGCCGGCCAGCCAGAAAATAGAGGTGCGCGAGGGCAAGGTGGTGTGGAGATTCTGCGGCCTTTGATTTGACACCTCCTGGAGCTACCGCCACAGGCCTGCCCATTTCACCTGCTGGGAAGATAACTTTGGCTTCTGGTGGGTGGGTGGGTGATTGACTCTGAAAGTCCAAAGCATTGGTTTTTCTGGGTCACTTCCTATGACTGCTCCTGCTTTGTATTTGAGTCCTTTGTAACCTCAAATGACACCCGGGGAGACCTGACCCACATGGAGAGATAAGGGCTTAGCCCCAGCAGGGCCCCAAGGCCGTGCCAGCCCTGGCGCGGACACCTTGGGATGTAACAGTGATGGGGATCAGAGCTCGGTACTGGGAGCCGGCGCCGAGAGTTAGGAGCCTGTTTTAAAGCCATGCAACTTGAGTTTCACACACTCCGGGCCAGGAAGATTCTGGAGACAGTTCCTCTCGCTGCTAGCACCTCCTGCAGACTGTCCCCTGTTGATTTCCTGTTGAAGAGATAACAGAGGTAGATGGTAATCGTCCTTTTTCTGGCAGCCTAGCCCTCAGGGGATGGAAGGGTGGCCTTCTAACTCTGCCGAAGTTTCAGCGTGGTTCCTGATTCTTTCTCTTCCTAGCATGGTTTTTGTCTCCTGTTCTTAGGAAAAGTTTCTGCCTCCTCAGTAGCATGCAAAGGGGTTCCAGGAGACCCTGGTCCCCCCTCTGCTCCTCACGCTTCTCTAAGTGGGCCCCGCTGACAGTTTAGAAGTTATTGCCGGCCGGGCGCGGTGGCTCAAGCCTGTAATTCCAGCACTTTGGGAGGCCGAGGCGGGCGGATCACGAGGTCAAGAAATCGAGACCATCCTGGCCAACATGGTGAAACCCCGTCTCTACTAAAAATACAAAAATTAGCTGGGCGCCGTGGCGTGCGCCTGTAGTCCCAGCTACTCGGGAGGCTGAGGCAGGAGAATTGCTTGAAACCGGGAGTCGGAGGTTGCAGTGAGCCGACATTGTGCCACTGCACTCCTGCCTAGTGCCTGGCAACAGAATGAGACTCTGTCTCAAAAAAAAAAAAGTTATTGCCACAAAGTAGGCAGTTCTGTAGACTCAAATCTCAGGAAAACTGTGTTAAAATATTTTTTAAAAGAAGGTAACATACACAGGTACAAATTTGAACAGCATGAAGGCTGTGTGATGAGAAGCAGGTCTTCAGCACAGCTTAGAAACCAGTTCCACTCCCCACAGACAGTTGTCAACTATTTCTTGTTTACCTTTAGATAACTTCATAAATATCTTAGATTGATTTTGTATGGTCCCTGTCCTGCCTCTTGTACTCGCCTAGATCTTGGAGATTTGTCCGTATTGACCATACATGTCTGTTTTACATTTATCTGGTCTCCTGTAATGGCCATTAGGTTGCTTCCGGCCTCACTGTTCAAGCAGTGCTGTAGATCTCCTTGTCCATGTGCTCCTGTATGTGTTGTGTCTTTCAGTAAATCATGAGAATTGCCAGGTCAAGTTATGTGCATTTAAAATTTCAGTAGAAATTGCTGCATGCCTACCCTTAGAACACTACTAAACTTTAAATTTTTGCCAGAGAAAATTTTTGTTTCTTAACTAATGTGCAGATAGGAGTTCAGGTTTTAATCTGGTGGCATCTCAGATCTTGGAGGAGGGCAGTGCCTTTTTACACTTTCCATAATCCCCTGTCCCCAAACAACTACTAAAATGAAATAGTGATGACTGAATTGTGTGGTCAGTGCTCATTTATATATAGTGTCTGTGCTCTCTCTGTTCCTGGTGATGTGGTGGTGATTGAAAGCAGACTCACTCCAAAAGAAGGCTGAAATAGCTCTAAGAATTGCCATGGCTTTTGAAACTCAAATGAGGCACCAGGGAGGAATGTTCTGTCTCTCCACACCTCTTATGGGAGTGGGTGAAAGACTGAGACCATCTAATCTGGAGGATTCCTCTGAATCCCAGCTTCAAGAGGCAGGGCCCTGTTTGTTTATCTGTCCCTCAACTCAACTGAGACTCTGTTGTCCTGCCTTATTTTGTCAACAGCAGGCAGGATCCAGCCCACACCCAGAGCACCTATCTGTCCTGAAGTGATCTATTTAAAGCCAAAAGATGCGGTAGCCTGAAAATTCCTCTTCCCCAAGCCTCATCGTGAAGTTTGGGAGGGCCCAGGTCATTCTTAACTCCAAATTCCCATCCAAAATCCTTGTCTCCTGTAACACATACTGTTGAGGTCCAGGCACAGAAGTGATCAGGTGGTTTACTGACTAGGGATACCTCTTCCGAGGAAGCTGTGTGTCAGTGTGAGTCTGTGCCATTCTCTCTGACTGCTGGAAGGGAAGGGGCTCAGGGGGCTATAGCGGAGCATGGGAAGCTAAGCCGCCTATACCAACACCTTGCATCTCTGCTGTGGTGGGGAGCATGGTCGTTGAGGAGGACCAGGAGCTCATGGGCAGGTGCAATGGGCGGTTTGTGAGGTGACCACAGGGGAGATTTGGGTGTACAAAGTGGGGGAGGGGCAGTTCCAGCATGCTGAGAGGAAGCAGTAATGGCAAGATGACTCATTCTAGGAATTGGCTGCAGCTTCTGGGAGGGAGTTGGAGACTGCCTTGTAATCCATTAACCGTTTGTCTACTGCAGGGCTTTTAAAAAGCCAGCATCACAACACCCAAAGTCAGAGGAGAAAAAGAGGGTTCTTTGGAAAATTTGTGGTCTCAGAATGAATGTTTAATGGATTCAACTCCAAGTGAATTCTCTGGGCCAGAAGCAGATAGAAGTGGGCTTTCTGGAGGCCCTAGGAAATGCCTCAGGTTGCTCTGGGTTAGCAGCAAAAGAGTTTCCCAAGCAAGGCTAGCCTGTTCACCCTGCAGCCCTCAGCATTCAGAAGGTTCCAAGGCCGGTTTTTCATTTGGTTCTTCCCCACTCAGTCTAAAGTCTAATGGGCCTGAGAAGGCTTACTTTTATATGTGCTAGTTTCTGTGACTTGCTCAGAGGGTCGTTTTTACCTTAAACAATCCATTTGGAGAGGTGTAAATGTGATATTAAGGATTCTGAGTCATACATGCCATAAGTTGACTTATTGATGGGGGCGTGCAGGAGGAGTAGGGGAGAACTAAGGAAAGTGGGGATAATTAGAAGGTAGGGTGTCAGGAAGGGGAAAGAGATAGTTTTTGCTCATGAGGGCTGAGAATTAAATTCAGAAGTCCTCATTGTTTCAGTTGGTTTAGAAGGTAATTAAATGGATTGATGACTCCAAATTGGACCTAGAAAGGACTGTCAGCAGTGTTCTTAGCACCTTGGGAGTGAGAGGCAGTGAGGCTGTTTTACTGCCGAAGTTGAAACCTCTTATCAGCCCCCATTTCCTTATGAATGGAGGAGGTTCCAACTAGAATCTTACTTAGAGCAGATGGGCTGGGGAAGAAGCCGCTTTAGAAGACAAGTCTTTCTGCCAATTAATGAAATTTTGCATAATCACACCTTTTTTTTAGATAAACGAGAAAATAGCCTTTGTTTTCTGGATAGATTTGGTTAATATTTGCCAGATGCTAGATATTTTTTTTCACAGTTTAAGCTGCTTCTGATAGACACAAAAAGTTAATCATTGCCTCGGAACGAGTTCTTTTTAGAGGTTTGTGTGTGCGTATAGCCCCTTTCGGGTCTAAATTTGTTTGCTGGTTTTGCTCAATTTTTAATGACCAGAATCTATATTGGCTTAATTTTTTTTAACTATGTAACATTGAGTGTATTGATTAACTATTGGTATTTTCTGACAGCATGAGAAATTGATGCTTATCGTCTATCTCACCTTTTTGTTTGTTTTTGTAGGGGGTTATGAGACCTTCTACTCGGAATATCCCGAGTGTTGCGTGGATGTAAAACCCATTTCACAAGAGATGATTGAGAGTGAGCGAGCCCTCATCAGCCAGTGTGGAAAACCAGTCAGCTACAGGCCAGCTTATGACCAGGTACGTGATGGGGAAGAGGTATCCTGAGTGGTATTCTGGGCTCCTGTCTCCCTTCCTTCCTCAGCACCTGACTGTTCTCTCCCCACTCAGCAATCATGCTTAGTTCTTTTGTGGATCAGGGTGTTGGCAAAATCCCCTGGCTTTAGGGAGCCTCTGTTGCTTGCCGGTTTGAGTTTCCATCCAAGAGTAAATGGGCTTCCTTCCAGCAAACAAGCTGACAAGAGCAAACCAGCCACAGGATGCTTGGCAGCTTCTGGGGAAAAGGGGAAGTGAAAGATACATTATTGTCATCTGGCTTCGGAGGTTCAGAGGAGCTTTGAAATACTGGTCTAGGTTTCCCTGAAGACATCTCAGAGCTGACTTTCAGGCTTCCTGTGTTGCTTTTCTTTGTAATTGTCCAGGCTCTGCAGTTTCTGCAAACCATCCCAGTACCTGTCAAGGTGTGCCTTGTTGGTACGTTTAACTGAAACTGGTGTGGGGGAGTGCTGTAGAGAAAGTCCTATTTGGGTGGTTAAGTAACCTCCTCTAGAGAGTTCTTAGGCTTACAGTTCTGCAGATACTGAAACCAAAGGAAATCAGAAGATACTAGAGGGCTTCATGTTTCTGTAAACTAGTGGGTTTTGTTTTTCTTCAAAAAATGAATGCTTTGCGATAACTCACTAAAGGGAAAAATAAAGTGGAAGAGGGTTACCTAGCACCACCAGGAAGATGAAAAAGCTGGTGAGAATCCAAATCTGGCAGAAACCAGAGATCAGAACCTGCATACCCATTTTACAGAAGGGAAGAGAAGTGTTCTGTGATAAGTGAGATGATTGATTTTTCAGAGTCCTGCAGCTGGTTCAAGGCAGCATGAGGCTTGGAATCCCTTTCTCTCAGCTCCCTGTTGTGGTTATTTTAGGACCTTGTTCTGTTTTCCATATGGTCTCTAAGCTAGACACCTGACCTGGTGGGAGTAACCTTTCAAACTTTTCACATGAACCAAGAACATACCCAAATCATAAGAAGAAAGATTTCTAGATGCTAAAATGCCAGCTCCCTGCCATGAGCAAAACCCTGTCCATGGGGATAAACTTTGAAGTAAAGCCAGGTGACCTTTTCTTGAATGGGCTCCTTGGTCAGGAAGCCTATTAGCTTGTCCAGATGCCAGGGTTAGGATTTTGTTTGTTTTCCTTTATTAGGCGTCCTTACAGTATATGACCAACCCGTGGCTTTCAAGCTGTGGACATCCGGCCTGGCTAGATTTCTACTTTTGCTTGTTTGTTTGGGTTGTGTTCCCCTCCATTTCTCAGAAAGTGAAAGAGAAATAAGAGTTGGCAGAATGTTGCGAAAGCACATCACGTCTTTGGCGAAGCGAGGGGTGAGAAGGCCCTGATGTGTCTTCAAGATTTATCTGGGGAACCCCCTAATGCTACTTCTTAGAAACGCTTCTGCATTAGAGCAGCCAGGTGCGGACGTGTTAACCTTTGGGGTTTCTGAAGGCCTTTGGTTTCTTCCTCTTGGTCTAAACAGAAGTTCAAAAAGGGAAAGAAATGTAGTTTCAGGGGCGTGTTGGGCTGAGCTCCAAAAGAAATTGGATGGGATCCCAGGTCTGGCGTATCAGCAATTTCCAGGCACTCGGGAGGGGAAGAGATCTTGAGTCAACCATCCAGCCTGCTCCTTAGAGGGCGAACCAGTTAGTGCCTATTGGTGGGGACCCATAAGTCATCAGTGGCCACGTGAATCTGTACTTGGAACTCTGACTCCTTTCCAAAGAACTTTCTACCACCTCTGCTGTTTTCCTGGTTTCTAGCTGGTGGTGATGCTATGCCCAGGGACTGGGTCCAGCTCAAGCCAGGACCAGACCTGCATGGATCGCTTAAAACCCTATGTCTTCCCCAGGGAGGGAAGCCATGTTCTGTTCATTCTTCGATCTCGATGACAATGGCAGCTATGTAATGTGCCAGGTTTTTTTGTTTTTTGTTTTTTGTTTTTTTTTGAGACGGAGTTTCGCTCTTGTTACCCAGGGTGGAGTGCAATGGCGCGATCTCGGCTCACCGCAACCTCCGCCTCCTGGGTTCAGGCAATTCTCCTGCCTCAGCCTCCCGAGTAGCTGGGATTACAGGCACGCGCCACCATGCTCAGCTGATTTTTTGTATTTTTAGTAGAGACGGGGTTTCACCATGTTGACCAGGATGGTCTCGATCTCTTGACCTCGTGATCTACCCGCCTCGGCCTCCCAAAGTGCTGGGATTACAGGCGTGAGCCACCGTGCCCGGCTATGTGCCAGGTTTTAATACATTCATTATCCCATTTACACCTTACCAATTATCCAGAGAGAATAGGTATCATCCCCCGTTTAGAGATAAAGGGTCATAGGTTAAGGAAGCTGTCCAAGATCACATCAGGCAGTAAGTATGGAGCCCTGGAACTTAACCAAGAGCTCTGCGATCTGACGCCCAAGCCCAGGTTCATAACCGCTGCACCACATTGACCCCAGGAAGGCTGCTCTGTAGGCATAGAAATTTGGGGAGGCTTCGAGGAGGGGATGCAGTTGGACATTTTATCTCTAGAGGAACAGAGGAAAGAAGGAAATTTTTTCCTTCCTGTCTACCTGAAATATTTGCTTTCTCATATTGATCACTATTGAAATGGAGTCAGACAAGGCCTTGACTCTTATGCTAAGCAGCTCTGGGTTTAGCTCAGCTTTGCCACTGACTAGCTCTGACTCGGACAAGTTATTTAATGCATCTGAGCCTTAAGTTGCCCATCGGTAAAATGGGAATAACCTACCTTACAGATTTTGTTGTGAAATTGCTATGATGTAGGCGCATCTAAAGTGTTAAGCCCAGAGGCCAGCCATAGTAGATGCTGATAAAAATACCACCAGTTGTTATTATTATCTTTGTAAAGTCCTCTGTAATTTTCTTCCAAGTGACTGAACTGGCTTTTGCTTAAACACTTGACTTCTCAGGAAATGAAAAGCTAATGCTGGGTGCAGGGTAAATTGAGAATTGCCTGTGTCTGGCCCCTGTCCCATGCACCCTTCCCTGTTATGGATCTGACTGAGAGTTTCCATTCCACTCTTATTCCAGGACAGGAAATGGAAACACAGGAAGCAGATGGTTGGCATGGGAAAGGCTCCCAAAGACACAGCCACTGTCACCATGTTTCCCTCTCAGTCTCTAAGGGCTCCCATTTTTCTTTTTTTTTTTTTGAGACGGGAGTCTCACTCTGTCACCCAGGCTGGAGCGCAGTGGCACGATCTCAGCTCACTGCAACCTCCACTTCCCGGGTTCAAGTCATTCTGCTTCAGCCTCCCTAGTAGCTGGGACTACAGATGTGTACCACCATACCCAGCTAATTTTTTTGTATTTTTAGTAGAGATGGGGTTTCACCCGTGTTAGACAGGATGGTCTTGATATCCTGACCTTGTGATCTGCCCATCTCAGCCTCCCAAAGTGCTGGCATTACAGGTATAAGCCACCATGCCCTGCTGGGCTTCCATTTTGCCAACCATCACGGGTTTTTCTTGCCACCTTTAGAGCACTGTAAAGAGACAGCCAGGGTCTAACTAGCAGTTTGTTTTAGCTTTGCCTCAAGGTGAATGGTCTCTGGTTCCCCCTTGACTAGAAACTGGGATGTGGGTACCCTCCCCAAAGCGTGGCTCTGTAAGCAGGTCTCACCAGCATCCCCAACAAAACCCTGTGTGAAGAAGGTCAGAGGTGGGGGAACCCCCTCTGCTTGTGGCCTGACAATATTTTTTACCTAAAGATTCTGAGTAGGTAGTGGTTATTTTCATTTCTAAGAAGCCTACTTTTTTGTGGGTGTGGAGGTGCATTTTAACATCTCTAAAACTTGGATGCATCTTAGGATCAACAGTGTCTTAGGTTTGATGAAATATGCTATATAGGCTAGACTTGGTGGCTCACCTGTAATCCCAGCACTTTGGAAGGCTGAGGTGGGAAGATTGCTTGAGGCCAGGAGTTTAAGACCATTCTGGGCAACACAGCAAGAACGCATCTCTACAAAAAAAATTAAAAATTAGGCAGGCATGGTGGTGCATGTCTGTAGCCCCAGCTACGCGGGAGGCTGAAATGGTAGGATCTCTTGAGCCTAGGAATTCAAGATTACAGTGAGCTATGATTGTGCCACTATACTCCAGCCTGGGTGACAGAGCAAGACCCTGTCTTTCCAAAAAGGAAAAGAAAATACGCTATAGAAAATGTCAAGGCTGTAAAGGAGGACACATACGATGTGAGTCCTGCTCCATTTTATCTATACGGAAAGCGAGACTGTCCCAAGGCAAAGGGGCTTGTCCTGGTACTCTTAGGGCAGCTGTAACTTCAACATGGGCCTGTCGATTTTTCCCGTGATGCCACATGGCTTTTCATCCTTGTCAGTGCAGGAAGGCTGCCGGCGTTTCCTGCCTCCTTGATATGTGCAAAAAAGCGAACTCTTTGCTGTGTGGATGTTGCTGTCATTGAGGCAGTCACACAAGGTAGAGAGTTGGCCAGGATGGAGATACCACCCACACTCAGTTGAAAACTGCCCTAGCTCTGAACCCTCTGTACTTGGAAACCAGAAAGGGAACCGCCCATCTTAAGAAACAAATAGGTCAGGGTTGTTTTTTCCTCTCTCAAATGAACAAGCTAATTCAATATTTCCTGATTATCCTTTGTCCCTGCCTCCAGGGTGGCCCAGTTGAAATCCTTCCCTTCCTCTACCTTGGAAGTGCCTACCATGCGTCCAAGTGCGAGTTCCTCGCCAACCTGCACATCACAGCCCTGCTGAATGTCTCCAGACGGACCTCGGAGGCCTGCACGACCCACCTACACTACAAATGGATCCCTGTGGAAGACAGCCACACGGCTGACATTAGCTCCCACTTTCAAGAAGCAATAGACTTCATTGGTAGGTTTAGCCATTCCCCCTGTTATTTTGGGAGTCCTGTTGGGGCATGTGTTCTTGACTTTTGATGTCCTGTGGAGGCCACCGTCACTGAAAGACAAGTGTTTTGTATATGCAGCTGCCAAGAGGTGGAGCCAACATGGGATAAGCCCCCAAAAAGGTAGAAGGGAGGATTTAAGTTGCTATTAATAGGAGCTTTAATTTTCAAGATAAATGAATGAATCTAATTTTATGGGAGTACTCGCTGCCGATCTTGTGATTGTTTCTAGCTGGGCAGGAGCTGAGTGCATCCCTGCGTAATGCTACACACCAGGAAAGTGGGGGGAAGAACCTCCCTAACCGTGCTTCTACGTAGGTTGGGTTTATTTTTAAAACCAAACAGAAGGATTCAGAGAGCACTACTTATGCACTGAGCCCCAAGGGTCCCCAGCAGCTCTCTGTACTTTTGGCGAGCAGCTTTGGGGCAATTTGTTTTGCATTTTCAGCTAATTTTGGATTAAAGATACCATTCGACTCAGGCTCCATGCTGTATACACACAAAAATTGGCATCTTTTGCATGCTTTCTTCATTCTTGTAAGGCTGCTATCATTTATTCCATTGCGTAGACCTGAAAACCAAAGCCTTGGCCTCTGGTCCCTCTGCCAGTAAAGGGCTGTGGCCTTAGGGTTTCCAGGTACTCTGTGTGGCCTGGATTGTTCTCCCATTTGGCATCTTCTCCTCCCCCATCCAGCTCCTTAGCGGGCTGGCCTGATTTTTGTCTGTCTCAAATTTGCAAGTACCACTCCCTAACCTTTTGATCATGCCCCCCTTTCCAGCACCCATTTTCTTCTTTGACATAGGTAGTTGTTGAAACTGGTGCATGATTTTCCTGTATCTTGTTCCAAGGGATGTTGGAGGAAGAAAGGCAGGTGTTAGCATGGTGCTAATTACTTAGTCCAGGTAGCAATTAAAGGCCCCCCTTGAGCCACATGGTGGCCCTCTGATCACCGCACAATTTCTGTTCCTCAGGAAACCCTGACGAGAAACTCATCAAAGGCAAAAGGCTGAGCCTGTCCTGCTTGTCCCCTGAGCCTCTGGGCTGAGATGATTCCTTTGGAGTCTGAAAGGCAGCCAAAATGATGGTTCAGGGTGGGAAACCCTTGACTTGTTCTCCCTGTCCTTGGGAATGCCTTGCCCTTCTCAGCCTGCTTTTTAATTACCTAAGTAGCTACTTCATGAGGTCATGAAACCCGCCCCCATCCAGTTCTCAGAACCCTGCCTCCCTGTCCTGTGTGTGTATTGTGTCTATGTACACGCAATCCAAAAACCCACAGTATTTTGAAAGCACAGGATGCTTTTTCACAAACTCCTTGCCCTGCTAGTGGCTAGTGGAAGGACAGACGGCCTGCCCAGTGAGCCATGTGCTCCATAAACAATCACCCCTTCCAGGGGAAGAGGGCCATGCGGAAGGCAGGCCCCTTTACATTCTTGGATGTGGCACTAGGCCAGTTAAAAGCTAAACTTTCAAGGAAGCCAGCAGAGGAGCAAAGGTAAATAGGAGTCATGACCCTGTAATTCTAGGGACTTTGGGTCTCCCCTTTGAACTAATTTACGGAGACTGTTTTGTTGTTTCTTTTGATTCAGACTGAATTGGAGGACACCTCTGTTGAACTGCTTTGGGGTATCCTGTGGGGTTTTTGTTCAGATGGGGAAACTCCTCCCTGATGCCTCAGAAATTTTACCTTTCAGATCTTGCAGATTGATTTGCATACTTTGACCTTGGGGCAAGGAAGTAGAGGATGGTAAGGGGAATGACTTTTTTTTTTTCTCTTGGCCCTTCAAAATCTTAAATGTTGTTGTGTACTGTGGCCTGCATAGTGCCGGCTACATCTAACTTCCTGTGATATAATTGTTTCCTCACTAGCAAGAGAGGGACTCGGAAAGACTATTTTTTGTGGATTTGATGTGTACACATCTTTAACCTTTTATCCCTTCCCATTTTAACAGTTGTAGCTGGTTTTCTGCGGGCGGGGGCTGAGGGGTAGAGCAGGAAGGGAGGCATCCTCCCCTTTTTGTCATATTGAGCTAAAGAATGCTAACTGATGGTGGTAGCTTTATAGCAGTGACTCCCATTGTTGAGCAAGATGGAATTTGTGAAAGCCATTTATATCCTCCGTCTAGTAGGCGTCACTTAGCAAGGACTATAATTAGTGGCCGGCGCTATTTATTGTGTGTTTGCTGGTGAGAACCCTGGGAGCTGAGCCAGGCATCCTGCCCTGGCACAGCAGGAAGGGGTGCCCGGAGAGGCTGGAAGGCCTCTACCAGGATCAGGGTTAGGTTGTTACCCTTAGAATCAGACCTGGAGAGGCCAGAGTTGCTTCTTCAAGTCAGCCTTTGAGTCTGGGATGCTCTTCTTAGAAAAATGTGCATCGCTAGCCAGACGCGGTGGCTCACACCTGTAATCCCAGCACTTTGGGAGGCCAAGGCGGGGGGGGATCACAAGATCAGGAGATCGAGACCATCCTGGTTAACATGGTGAAACCCCATCTCTACTAAAAATACAAAAAACTAGCCGGGCGTGGTGGTGCCTGTAGTCCCAGCTATTGGGAAGGCTGAGGCAGAAGAATCACTTGAACCCGGGAGGCGGAGGTTGCAGTGAGCCGAGATTATGCCACTGCACTCCAGCCTGGTCAACAGAGACTGTCTCAAAAAAAAAAAAAAAAAGATAAAAAAGGAAAAAGAAAAATGTGCTTGGCCAATAAAAATACGCACAACCTTAAGGATTTTCCAACGCCCTCTTGAAACCGTCCATGGAGGCTGAGCATGGTGGCTCACGCCTATAATCTCAGTACTTTGGGAGGCCAAAGCAGTGGATCACCTGAGGTCAGGAGTTCGAGATCGGCCTGGCCAACATGGTGAAACCCCATCTCTACTAAAAATATTTTTTAAGGCCGGGCGCGGTGGCTCAAGCCTGTAATCCCAGCACTTTGGGAGGCCGAGGCGGGTGGATCACGAGGTAAAGAGATCGAGACCATCCTGGTCAACATGGTGAAACCCCGTCTCTACTAAAAATACAAAAAATTAGCT